CGGTGCGGAGCAGAGGCAGTGCTTCGGGGCTCTCAGTGCCGAAGCGGGCGTCGAGGTCCTTTTCAGATCCTACTGGTGCAGGGTCCCTGCTTGCAGAGCCTCACATCCTCTCCCGAGCCGCTGCCGGTACCCTCGGCCGCACGGCCTTTGGCTGCGGCCGCTGGTCATTTCTCGTCTCCAAACCAGTCACCAAAGCGATCCTCGGAAAACTCAGGTTTTATTGGAAGCCTTCTTTGCTTAAAACCCTTCGGCGGCTTCCCATTCATTACCTTCGTCCCCCGGTCAGGCCCTGCACGGCTCTGCCTGCCTTTCCGTCTCCTCCAGCCGCTCAGCTGCTGAGCTGCACAGGTCTCGGTGCCAAGTGCTTACGGCTCAGGAATCGGAGGGGCTCAAGCAGTCCCCTGATTAAAATGTGATAGATGACGCATGAGGGACCCAGGGGTGCTTGAGACTTACTGTGGAGGGGAGTGGACCAGGTGCTCCCAGACTCTGGCACTCGGAACGTTTAAACATCGAGCACGATGTGCGCCTGCATATGTGTAAGGGCCCGAGGGGGTGCGCTTCTCCAAGCAATTAAAAATGTGTAATAAATTTTGGTCATTTCATTCTGGAAGTAAAGGGTGTGGCTACATCCCCAGCCAGTCATTCAGGTGCCCAAGAAGAACTCTGGACAGACCCAGACTCTTTTCATCACTTAATACTTTATTTTTCTGTCTCTGAAAAAGCATTAGGGCTTTTGACGTTTTTCACAAGTTTTCACATGTTTTTCAAGCCCTGGGTGTGCAGGTTGGATTCCCTCTCAGGGCACATAGCCAGGTTTGGGGCTCAAGGCTCAGTCCCCAGTAGGGGGCTGCAGAAGGCAACCAATGATGTTTCTATCTCTCCCTCTAAAAAAATAAAAACCATTTAAAAAATGTTTTTCAAGCCATTTTGAGCAATTAGCATTGAGCTCTCAGCAGGGACTCTGTCACTTACCTGTGTTCACCAGCTTGTGTGAAGTAGGCGTCTTTGCCCGCCAACAGGATGGCTCACATGTGTGAGGAGGAGGTAGATTTTGTCCAGCACAGAAGTCTGTCCATTTGTCTGTGGTGACTGATGGAGAGAACTCTGGAGTGTCACAGAGGTCAAGTGAGCGGTTGCTATGAAATGTTCCTCAGAGTTGCATTTAGTGCAGATGCTGCTGATGTTTAGCATCCTGGCCTCTTGCCCCGTCCAGTCACCATGATAACCAAAAGTCCCTCAGGGGCACTGCCTGCAGGTGAGAGCCCCTATTCTTACAGAAATTGTTCCCAAATCCACAGAGAATAGCAGGTGTCTGGTGTGGGGACATCTGAGTTTCACAAAGATAGTTTTTAAATAAACATTCACTCAAATAATCATGATATTTCTTCAGAAGAGCTCTCTCCACCTGCTTGTGTCTGGGGGGAGGTGTGTCTGCCTGCTGTGGTAAACACAGTGCCCTTGCCATTTACATGGTCAAAGGATCCTGCGTCCAGCCCTTACAAGGACAACCACAGAAACCGCATGGGATGTGGGGAAACTGGTTCCCTTGGACTGGAGGCTGCCGGGAGAAAGTTCTGTGTTGTCTCCTGTTTGCTGTGGTTCGCAGCACCTCCTTCAGGGCCCTCTGGGAGTAATAATGAGGCAGCAGTGGCTTAGGGTGTCAGTGAGTCAGGTCCTGTTTTCCTCCTGTAAAACCAGCCATTTCTCAGGTAAAATGAACATTTCCAGTTGGTTGGCTTTTTGTAGTAACAGCAGCAATGTTTGACCTGCTTTCCTAATAACTTATTTAGTGCAGGCTTAGAGGAACTGTTGTATTTCATCTCCTCAGCAGCTGAGAGAGGGTTACTAGTCACCCCTAGAAGGGAGCTGGGAGAAGACAAGCTTAGCCAGGCCCTGCAGCCTGTGCCCTGCTGCCCCTCACACCCCTCACGCCGCAGCTGTGTTACTCAGTGCCTCTTGTAGCAGCTCCTGCGCTGGCAACCCAGGTGCCAGCTTGTGCTTACTCTTCTGCCCTCATCTTTGGAGATCTGCATCTGGCCAGTGTTTGATGTTTATGCATTGTGAATTGTGATTACATCCAGAGAACTTGTTTTCTATCCCCTAAGATCACAGTTATAATTAATATTCATTAGTAATTAGCTGTGGAGTGTGAACTGGGCCATCTCTACTTGGTGTCCTGTTTGACCTGTGAGGTGTCCTCGCTGCAGCTGTCAGCACAGTGCTTCCTAACCTTTTTGGGGTCACAGAACCTGTTGAAAAACCCTCTCAGGAAATTCACAGGCAGAAATGACTGCCTTTGATTCCCACAGTTCTTCTGTTGTTCATGGATCCAAAGTTAAGAACCTTGCATACTGAGACTTGCATAGTGGTTTATATGAGGTGTGTAGTTTATTCACCTTTATTTTTTTATCTATAACTAATTGCCTGTGTGTGTCTGTTCACTCCCTTTTATATAATGTACTGTTGATGGTGATGGCTAACTGGACCAGTCATCAGTGGGAGAACAAGCCCCCGTACAGGCCGCTACTGCCCCCCTGGGGACATCTCAGTTATGATTTTGATGCTAGAGGGTTCTGGGTCTATTGGTGAGACCCTGGCACATCTGGTCCACAGGGCAGACTGAGCTGAAGTGGAACCCCACCCAACTCAAATGCACAGGAAATGTGTAGCAATTTTACCAAAATCATCTGCATATATAGCCAGACTTGGACAGGAGAAGGAAATGTCCTAGGTACCATAGAGTGCAGAGAGAACACAGACCTGAAGAGCACAGGATTTGAGAACCAGGTGTGGGCCTCATAGGCTGGAGCTGGGGTTTGAATACCCATGCTGAGCCAGGGGGCAGTAACTTAGGCCTTTGCAGAGCTCCCTGCATAGATCCAGGACCACTGTGTCTGCCCAGCCGGGACAAGAAAACTGTCTGCCAGCCACTGGCCCAGGGCCCTGCGTGGCTGAAGCCACCAAGGGTGAAGGAGGGCCCAGGCCTGCGAGTCCACACTGTCTGCACCTCCTGAGCTGAGGCATGGGCCTAGAAACTGGCTAGAGCTGTGGATTCCTAAAGGGAGCATGTCCACTGGGGACAGTGCCCATTAAGAAATTACAGAATCCACCAGGGAGTAAAACCTGCAGGGAGAGGAGAACTCACTCTAGGAACAAGCCCTAACATGGGTGGACAATTAGTAAGAGGTGGTTATGGTGGTGTCCACAAGGGGCATCATGTGGCCCACATGATGATTTGGCTTCTTAAAGACCTGGCGTTAGCCAAAATTGATTGCTTTAACGTTTCTTATTAATAGGGTTTTGTTTTTATAAATAGTTTTTCTCTTACCTTTAGGATAACATATTGTGATGTCACAGAACCAAAACTATGAGTGAATTTCGGATTCACCACGATGTCAATGAGCTGCTCAGCTTGCTGCGTGTGCATGGAGGAGATGGGGCCGAGGTTTACATTGACCTGCTACAGAAGAACAGGACCCCGTATGTCACAACCACTGTGTCTGCACACAGTGCCAAGGTGAGTGCCCATCCCTGAGCTGAGCTGTCACTGGGTAAGACAGCCCCATCCCTGTACTGTGCTGTCACTGGGCAAGGCAGGCCTGTCCTGTAATGTGCACAGAGTTCACCTTCCTGACTCCTGACTTGGTGGCCCTAGCAGTGCTAGTGATGACATCAGACAACCTTGGCAAGTGTTTTCCGTGGACCAAGTGTCTGCTCAGCTCAGTGCTTCTGTGGACCCCATGGCGGTTCTGGCCCCTCAACCCAGACAGATGAGTAGATGGAAGCTCAGGGAGCCCTGGCTGTCAGCCTGACCTCAGAGCCCAGGCTCTTCACCATGCCCTCCACATCCATGGTGAGGGATATGCAGTTGTTTCTCCGATTTATAGTCACATCGTGACACAGACATTTCCTTGGTTGAAGAAGAAAGCTCCTGTTAGTAGCCACACTGAAATCCCTTTAAAGTGGACTATTTTTCTTTATTCAAAAAATGTATGATTCAAAATTATAGATCTGCAGTAAAAGATAATTTTGAAATCTTCTTGAAAAGACATTAAGCTTCAGTTATTTAAACAGCTTAATTGTGGCACAAGGATAATTAGAAAAATTCACTGAGCCCTGGCTGGTGTGGCTCAGTGGTTAGAGGGTGGGCCACACACTGAAGGGTCGTGGGTTCGATTCCCAGTCAAGGGCACATACCTGGGTTGCAGGTTCAATCCCTGGCCCATTTTGGGGCACGTGTGGGAGGTAACCTATTGATGTGCCTCCCTCACATCAATGTTTCTTCTCTCTCTCTTTCCCCTTCCCTCCCTTCTGCTCTCTAAAAATCAGTGGAAAAAATATCTTTGGATGATGATTAACAAAATGAAAAGCTCACTGAGCACAGTGATTGAGGAACAGATATTACAGTTACTCTATTACACGGGGAGCCTTAAAAATCAAGGAGCAAACCTAACCCCTGAGCCTGTACGTGATAATAAATTCACTAGGGAACAGAGTAAAATGAAGGCATAAGCTACCAGGAAAAAAAATATGTGGTTATTTTCTGACATAAGGCTTAGGAAGTGTAACGTGAGAGAAACCTTGGAGGAAAAATAGTTTCACAAAATATTTGATGAGTCTTCTTAGTTTTATTTCAGCAATAAAAGATTATTTAGCCTACCTTATTTTACTCTATCTTTTTGTGTTTAATTTTTATAAGACTTTTTTAAAGTTCTTAGTTATTATCACTAAATCACTCGTGTTTGTGTTTTTGAGGTTAAAATAGCAGAATTTTCTCGTACTCCAGAAGACTTTCTAAAGAAATACGATGAGCTGAAATCGAAAAACACAAGGAACCTTGACCCACTGGTGTACCTGTTGTCAAAGCTCACGGAGGACAGAGAGGTAACTGTGGTCATGCTGGGGGTCAGGGAAGGCGAGTGGGGAGCTTGCCTTGGGCAGTTCTGGCGAGTGTTGTGAGCACACAGGGTAGCACGATAGAGGGAACACCTCGAGAGTGCTGTCACTGGTGCCGCTCCTGTTGCTCTGCCCACCTGTCATCAGAATGAAAATAACTTTCACGATGATAAACAAACACGGGAAGTACTAATAGCAGTTACCTTGGGGGGGGGCTTTATTTTTCATTATCTTGTGTCATGTGTTTTGTTAGTTTTAAGTTGTATACTTAATATGTGTGATACTGAAAAAAGCATGTGTCGAGCTGGGGGAGCCATGGCACCTGGGAGCATTAGGTCCAAGAATGCATTAGGTCTTTCCTCCTGCTTCCCAAGGCTCAGGGTCTATTCAGGGGTGGAGGTGCAACCAGGCACATATTGACCTCCAGTGCCAAGGACAGACAGGGCTAGTCAAGTGTAGAGAAAAGGCAGTGCCCCTGGGAATGGAGTTTGGGAATTGGCTGTTAAAGCAGCTGTAGGGTTTCCTCCTTGTGAGTAGAGGATGTGCACCTTGTGGCAGGAAGCATTGGAAGACCAGACTACAGCTTGAGGACTGACAGGAGCCCCTGCCCTCACCCTCCACGTGGTCACTGGGGTGGGGAAAGAAAGGGGTGGGGGTGGCTGTGCCAGGGAGTATGCACACGTGTGCAGCCTTGTGTCATTCAGGCCTGTGTTTGCAGACTCTGCAGTATTTACAGCAGAATGCGAGAGAAAGAGCCGAGCTGGCAGCCGCGGCTACAGCCAGCAGCACCACCAGCTTTAGCGCCCCTGCCACGGCCTCCAGGATCTCTATGCAGGAGCTCGAGGAGCTGAGGAAGCAGCTTGGCAGTGTGGCCACGGGCTCCACATTGCAGCAGGTACTGCGACCCGCCACCCACAGGCCCACACTCGCTGCAGCAGGGGCACAGGGAGTGCCAGCAGGGGTACACGTCTCACTGTTGTCTGTTAAAGAGGAACCTGAACGTGGACACGTTGATCGGAATTAGCTGTGTGTGGATAAGGATCATGGACACGAGGTGGGCAAACAGTGGAGCAAAGGTTCTGTCCCACCGGGGCAGTCGGCTCACCTCCTGCAGGGCAGTTGTATTGGTTCAGCCAATGCAAACTGCCATTCCCCATTTCCGTCTGTTAATTATTGACCTTTTTTTTTTTTAAATTATACTTTATAGACAATTTTCTCTAGATCATTTTATTTTTCCTATACTTACCAGCTTTTCCTTGCTTTTGAGTTTATGTACTGCCCTGTCCTTTTAATGTGTGTCTCTCTGCTCACAGCATTGCCTCTGGCCTTCAAGCCCCACAGATCTGTGTCCTGGTGAGGGTCTGAGCTTAGTATGTGCTTGTTGAGCACAGCAGCTGTGACAAGGACAATGGCCAGCACTGGTGGGCATGCCCTGGGTCCAGCACCTCACAAAGCCCTCATGCTGATACCCCGTGTGACAGATGAGGAAACTGAGTTGCACCTGCCTTTCTCCCCACTCCTGAGCCGGTGTTTCTGAAAGCCCCCTGACAGCTCTGGTCAGCCTCTAGCAGCCAGTCCCTCAGGGGGACACTGCTTCGTGCATGTGCCTGGAACCAGCCTTTCCCAGTGTGACCCTCTCCGCCTTTCTCTTATCCCCAAGGGGCTCAGGTGGGGGCACCCCTTCTCCAACCATGTGTCACTGGGGCAGTGTCTTCACCCAGCAGGTCATGTGTAGACTTTGAACCACCAGGAGAAAGCACAGGTGTTCCCGAGAGTCTGCCTGCCCTGGTGAAGTGCCCTTGCTGCCAGTGCTCCTGCTTAATCTGTGGGCCCTGCACAGACCGACACCCTGTCAAGGGCCTGGTCCCCATCTCTCTTGCCCCCAACTCCTCGCACTGTGATGGGCTCGAATCCATATCGTTTATACACGTACTTCTTAAACCCTTATGTGCTTAGTGACCGGCTTTTTCGATGCTACTGATGTTAGTTTTAATTGTTTGTTTTAAATATTCTTACCAGTCTCTGGAACTTACGAGAAAGATGCTTCGAGACAAGCAGAACAAAAAAAATTCGGGCCAGCTCCTCCCTATCTTCCCTGCATGGGTGTACGAGAGGCCTACACTGGCCGGGGATTTCC